TCCAAAAAAATCTTTTAATCAAATGTTTAAAGGGTGGGGGGAGGCTGGAGAGATGGCTCAGCGGTTTAAGAGCACTGTTCTTGCAGAGGACCTGGGTTTGATTCGCAGCACCCACATGGCAGCTACCAACCATCCTTAACTCCAGTTCCAGGGGAATCCAAAGCCCTCTTCTCACCTCTGTAGCATTGCACGACACGGGTGCACTCACATACATGCGAGCAATACACTCATATACATAAAATAAAAATAACAAAATACTAAAAAAGAACTGAGGATGTGCATCTAGCAGAACACTGGTGCTTTGCAGGTGGGAATGAAAATAGTACCACAGTGGAAAATAGTGTGGAGACGCCTGTAAAAACTAAACATGGAATTACGTGTGACCCTGCAATTCTACTTCTGAGTGCACACCCAAAAGAGTTGAAAGCAAGAATTTTAGCAGATGTTTGGACACCTGTGGTCATTAGCAGCACCTATGGTCCATACCCCCCAAAATGGAAGAGACTCAGTATTTGTTTAGGGATGAATTCATAAGCTAAACACAGCATGACTATGCAATGGAATATTATTTAGCATTAATCATGAAGGGAGTTCTGGCATGTTCTGTGATCCATGGATGAGTCTTTAAGGCATTATGTTAAGTGAAATAAGCTAGTTTAAAAAGTACAAATATTGTGTGATTGCGCTTATCCGAGCTTCCTATTCCAGGCCAGCTGGGGGGGCTACAGGGAGATCCTATCTCAAAAATACCAAAAATAAATAAAATTTTTTAAAAAGTGAAAAAGAAAACAAAAGTGAACAATGAATAAAAATACCAAAACTTGAGGCTGGGGATATGGTAGAATGCTTGCTTTAAGTTTGCACGAAACCCTCAACTGGATCCCCACACCCCATACAACTGGAACAGTCCTGCACGCCTGTATTCCCAGAGGGAGGTTAAGTTCAAGGCCATCTACGCTACCTGGGCTACATAAGACCCTGTCTCAAAAAAATAAATAAAATAAAAATAAAGACATTTCGACCACTTGTAGGACTTTATCTTAGTCTGCCTGGGGCTCCCAGGAAAGGTAATTGTGTCCTATTTTAAGAGTTAACCATGGGGCTGGAGAGCTGGGTCAGCGGTTAAGAACACTGGTTGTTCTTGCAAAAGACCCGGGTTCGAATCCCAGCACCCACATGACAGCTAACAACTGTCTGTAACTCCAGTCCCAGGGGATCTGACAGCTGCTTCTGCTCTCCTCTGGCATTGCACGACATTACACTGCATTTACCTACATGCGGGCAATACACGCATACACATCAAAAAATTTTTTTCAAAAAAAAAAGTTAATCATTAACTCGTTTAAGAAAGAGGTGGGCAGGCGGGCTCCCGCGGTCACAGGTGTGCCTCTGCCCGCAGATGTGGCTCCTTCTCGGCCCGAAAGTTTCGATTCCCCGCCCGTGTGTGCAGACTCAGACTGACCCCGCCTTGTCCCCGAGCCCCGCCCCCGGGCTATGAAAGGCTGTTCCGCGTGGGATCCCACCACCGCGAGACGCCCGTGTCCTTCGCACAAGCGGGCGGCCCCGGAGACCTAGTGCCCGCGAAGGCGGCGGCGGCGGCGGCGCGCCCACTCATCATGGTGAGCGCACGCGTGGGGTCGGGGCTGGAGGACAGGCCCGAGGTGGCAGGCTAACGGAAAGCCAGTGCTGGGGAGGCTGGGGAGATGGGACTTGCAAATGAGCACCCGTACTTCCGGAACTGAAGTCAAGCTTTCGGGGTTCCTCCAGGCAGTTCAGGTAGGACGGAGCGAGGCTGGAGGGAGCCTGGGGAAAACCGAGTGCCCTGGAGAAGGAAAGACCCTGGCACTAGGAAGGAGGGACTCAGGAACAGCAAACAGACTCTGCGCCCTGGGAACACCTGCTGGCAATGTGTTCTGGGCCAAAGAGCACCTATCCCAGGCCACCCGTGAACCCATAGGCCAGCTAAATTCTCAGGGTGCAAAATGGAGCCAGAAGGAAGGGTAGAGGAGTTTACAGTGGTTACGGTCATACTGCTTTTAGCAGACAGGAAAACAAGTAGCCCAGAGAGGTATAGCTGACACACAGCAAAGTAGGGGGTAGAGCTCCCTGAACACAGGTACCCTGTGCCCCTGAGTCCTGCAGGCAGCACAAAGACCTCGGTTTGGAGTCGGGGAGGCCGAGAGAGCAGAGGAGGTGGCAGTGAATGAGGCCCTTTGTCCAGTGCTCTCCTGCCCTGCCCCCGACCAGCTTTCTGTGGGACCATTGTCCCCCCCACCCCCAATCCCAGACAAGAGTGTATTATCTGTTGATGCCATTGTTGGGGGAAGGGAGGCAGTCTTTGGGTGACCCTCCTCCGCCCCCACCTCCTCTGCACACTCACAGAGCCAGGGCAGCTGTGGCTTTGCCCAGACATAGAGCCTCAGACCTCCAAAGAGGACATCCTTAAGAGGTGCCAAGAATATAAGTTAGGGCCAGGCCTGGAGCCACTGGCACTTGGCTGGCCTGCTTGCATGCACTGCCACCGGTGTTTTATCTGAGGGGCAGTAGAGGACTATCCGAGGGGCCAGGAGAGTAGGACATTAAGGAGCTTCAGTGAGGTTCTATCTACCTGTCACAGCTGGACTGACCCAAGAACCTACTAGGAGCAAAGGGCGGTCACTCTCCCCTGGGGAAGGCACCCACCGCCCAAGGTGCATGTTAGGTTGTTAGGCCTGGAGAGTCCCGAACCCCACCCCACCCCACCACACCCCACCCCACCACACCACACCCCCACCACACCCCTGCCCACTAAACTAAGCCAAAGACAAAGGTTGGTGCTGGTGGGCTGCTTGTAGAGGCTTGGGCTGACATCTCCTCTTCCCTCCCTACACAGAACAGAGGCTTCTCCCGAAAGAGTCACACATTGCTACCCAAGATCTTCTTCCGAAAAATGTCATCCTCGGGGGCCAAAGACAAGCCGGAGCTGCAGTTCCCTTTCCTTCAGGATGAGGACACGGTGGCCACACTGCACGAGTGCAAGACGCTCTTCATCCTGCGTGGCCTGCCAGGCAGCGGCAAGTCCACGCTGGCTCGGCTCATCGTGGATAAGTACCACAACGGTACCAAGATGGTGTCTGCCGATGCTTACAAGATCACACCTGGCACTCGAGCAGACTTCCCCGAGGAATACAAGCAACTGGACGAGGACCTGGCCGCCTACTGCCGTCGGGACATCAGGGTTCTTGTGCTTGACGACACCAACCACGAGCGGGAGCGGCTGGAGCAGCTCTTTGAAATGGCAGACCAGTACCAGTACCAGGTGGTGCTGGTGGAGCCCAAGACAGCGTGGCGACTGGACTGTGCCCAGCTCAAGGAGAAGAACCAGTGGCAGCTGTCGGCCGACGACCTGAAGAAGCTGAAGCCGGGGCTGGAGAAGGACTTCCTGCCACTCTACTTCGGCTGGTTCCTGACCAAAAAGAGTTCTGAGACCCTTCGCAAAGCTGGCCAAGCTTTTCTGGAGGAGCTGGGGAATCACAAGGCCTTCAAAAAGGAGCTTCGGCACTGTAGGTGGTTGGAGGGAAGGGGGCAGGGAAACGAAACTTTTGTACTGTTTGCCTGTGTCATAAGCCCACCTTGCCAGGCACTGGGTGCTATGTACTTAGGACAAGTGGATGTACTTAGCCCAAAGGATGGGGTGAGAGGTGGGGAATGCAGGTAGAGGCATCCAGGACCAGCCAGATGCGAGGCAGCTCAATAGAGGTGCGGGGAGCAGGTGGGACTAAGGACAGACAGCACCCTAACCCTTCTAGCCCTCTTCTCCCCACCACCCCTCTCCCATCCTGGGTCTAGACTGCCACCTGTAGTTTGGAAGGGGACCAACAAACAACTGTCCTAATAAGAAATATAATTATATGATAGCACTTCGGAGGGAGATTCTCCCCCACTGCTGTCCAACATTTTTAGCAGCAAACTATGACACAGAACCCTAAGTTACAAAAGAAGTAAAACCAGGCCTGTCGTGATTTCCCTTGGAGATGGTCCTCAGGCCTTGGCGTCTCTGGTGCACCGCCCCTGGCATCCTGGGCTCTAGAAAACAGTCTCACACCTTGTCCCAAACTATTCAGTCTCCACATGAGAGGTCCAGAAAGTATATAGGAGTTCCCATCTGGACCTAGCCGGGTTCTGGCTGAATTCTTCCTGGCAAGGGATACCGGCTTCAGTGAAGGGGCAACTTCGGGATAGGGAAGGGTCCTTGTGGGCCCCACTCACTTGCATTGTCTCTCAGATTGTCACCCACTCCCATGCCTTGAAGACTTTTTTGGTTTTTGAGACAGGGTCTTGCAATGTCCTGGCTGGCCTAGAATTCACTATGTAGACCAGGCTGGCCTCTTGACTTGGAGTGACTATCTTGCCTCTGCCTCCCAAGTGCTGGAGTGATGGGTATACACTACCATGCCTAGTCTCCTTTAAACCATTTCTAGTCTCTCAATTTTAGATGATCTGCATTTAAAATAACCTCAGCTGGGCATGGTGGCACATGCCTTTAGTCTCAGCACTTGGGAGGCAGAGGCAGGCAGATCTCTGTGAGTTCAAGGCCAGCTTGGTCTACATAGTGAGTTCCAGGTCAGCTGGGACTACAGGGAGACCATCTCAAAAAGACCAAAATAATAAAATAATAATAATTAATAATAATAATTCAGGGAGACCCTGTCTCAAAAAGACCAAAATACTATAATAACAACCTCATCTCATTGTTAGCCTCTGTTGCTCAGAGACAGGTCCTTTGTGCCTGTGTGAATTCTCAGAAAACTTTTTCTGGGCTCCTAAGGCTCAGACTTTGCAGGGACACAGTCTGGGAGCCAGCTCTCTGTAGAATGTGAAGGAAAACCCCTCAAGCCAGGTCCTCTGGTGAGAGCCGGTGGTATTGTCGTGGACATGACCGCTGCTTCAGAATGCTTTTCTGCCCAGGGTACAGTAGGTGGTGTTACAAGAATAAGCCATGCTCAGAATAGAGGCCTTGTACCTGGTGAGAGGTATCTTCACAGGGATTAACATAGGAAAACACTAGTGACAGCCACAAGGCTTGGAGTCTGGAAGGTCAACTCTGACATCTATCAACTCTGACATTCTATCCCCCAGTTTAACAGCCACTTTATCCCACTGTACCTAGGACCGTTCCTGCCTCAGGCCCTTGGTCTACTCTCCTCTTCCAAATATGTCTGCAGAGCATTTGTAATCGGTCACCCCTGGGTGAGATGGCTGCTATTGATCTCCAAGGCCCTGAGGAATTTGGGGGTATGGCAACCAGAATTGTTGCAGTGGATTGATAAGGGTCAATCACTTGTTCGTGGCTCCCGAGTGACAAGGTGTTACTTGTCTTTTCTTTACACTGTACCACCCTGTTCTCAACCTGCTTTTCCCTTTCCAGGTGTGATGCTAGCCTTTCCCTTAGTCCTTTGGCCTGGGTTGCCTAGCCCTAGCCCAGTGTTACACAAGCCTTAGAACCCAGGGTAGAGATCTAAAGATCTACACACAGGAAAACCAAGGAGGTTAGAGTTGAAACTGCTTTTCCCTCCAGGGAGGTTAGAGTTGAAATTACCCCCACCCAAAGGCTGGGTATTGAACCTAGAACCTGAACATATACTAAGCAAGTACTCTGCCAATGAGCCACATCCCTCGCCCTGAAGCACTTTTGAGACTTTATGTGGCTAAGGCTGACCTTGAACTCCTTGATCCTCCTGTCTCTACTTCCCCAGTATTGGGATTAGAGGAGTATACCACCACATCTGGTTTATGCGGTGCCAGTGCTGGGGACTGAACCCAGGGCTTCATCCACGATAGGCAAGCACTCTACCAACTGAGCTACATCTGGAACTACTAAAGGTGCCATGAGTTCAACCAACAATTGAACTTAGCAATTAAGTGCAGTGGACAAACTACTGGGGGTAGTTTGCGTGGTAGGTGGTAGGTTTGGCTCCCTTCCCTGACTGTGCACTCTCTTCTGCAGTTATCTCTGGGGATGAGCCCAAGGAGAAGCTTGAGCTGGTCAACTACTTTGGGAAGAGACCCCCGGGCGTGCTGCACTGCACAACCAAATTCTGTGACTACGGGAAGGCCACTGGGGCAGAAGAATATGCCCAGCAGGATGTGAGTTCTCCCCAGGGACACTGGGTGGAGGTGGGGAGGGTGAGTGGGTTAGTGTCTTCTGGAGCTGTTGCAGGGAGCTGGTATCAGACAGCAGCTGGAGAAGTGGGACCTCCCGACTTCAGCTTGGTCTCCAACCTCGGTTACTTTCTCAGGGGTCCTCTAGTCTGTTGTACGGGCCTTTTCCCTCCCTGCAGATTCATGGGGACTGCTGGGCAGCAGCAGGCTCCTGCTGTAGCCTCTTGGGCCCATGTTAAATCCCAGAGTCCCAAATGCTGAGGTCCTGTGTTTCAGAGAGCCTGGTTCACTGAGTGTCTTGTCCATCTCTGAGGCCTGGCCTTGCTCAGAGGGAAGGAGTGGCATAGGAGATTGGGGCTTTACCAGGTTGGGGTATCAGACCCTTTTCCTGCCATACAAAGTATCTATGTCCCAGCCAGATACAGCGATCCTTAACTCCAGGCATGCTGCCCAGTTCCCAACCTCCTTCTCTGTGCCTTCTCAAGCAAGGCCTTTCCTAACTGACCCCCTATCTCTTTCTTGCATCTCTGCCAAGGTTACTGCTTAGCCTTCAACTCCCATCGAAGTGGCAGCTCTCCAAGGGCCCGGTGTTTGTAGTTTTGTTCACCTGTGTTCCCAACACCCAGGCCAGTGGAATGACTGAACATGAAACACCACTTCTTACCATCCATTTAGCAATACTTACTAAGCACATGCCACATGCCAGACATTGCCAGAACAGAAGCTTGTGAACAAACAGATTTTACAGCCAGGTCAAAGGAGATGAACTTTCGGAAGGAAGTCAGGTGTAGCCAGAGGTACATCAGATGAGAACCACAGAACGGTGAGTGGATTGAGCAGGACCCCAGGTACAGGGTGAGCCATTAACAGCGGTAGCACACATAGAGCTCTGGACTCAGATCCAGGCTCTTCGTTCACCAGTCTTTTAAGCTTCAGTTCATCCCACGGTAGGCTCTAGTGTTCCCCCTCACTCACAGGTAACCAAGTCTAGCAGTGCCCTGGGCTAAGTCTAGGAAGTAGGGACTGGGTCTGTGCACAGAAAGCCTGGCTTTCACCCTGCTGCCCGCCTCCCTGGGCACCTTTTCCTTACGTTACCTCCAGTGGCTTGTACTGTAGGTATGTTTGATCTACCTTTAAAAAGGACTGCCACACTCTCCTGCTGGCTGCTTTCTCCTCTAGGAGTGGCCTACCCTCGCCCAGCTGTCACTCTAGCTTGGGCACCTCTCTCCCCCCAGGTGGTGAAGAAATCTTACAGCAAGGCCTTCAAGTTGTCCATCTCTACCTTCTTTGTGACACCCAAGACGGCTGGGGCCCAGGTGCTGTTGAGTGACCAGGAGCTGCTGTTGTGGCCAAGTGATGTGGACAAGCCGACTTCTGCCGAGAGCCTACCCCGGGGGAGCCGTGCTCATATTACCCTGGGCTGTGCAGCTGATGTGCAGCCTGTGCAGACAGGCCTTGACCTCTTAGATATTTTGCAGCAGGAAAAGGGGAGCAGCCGAGGCGAAGAGGTGGGTGAGCTCTCCCGGGGCAAGCTGTACTCCTTGGGTAACGGGCGCTGGATGCTGAGCTTGGCCAAAAAGATGGAGGTCAAGGCCATCTTCACGGGCTACTACGGGAAAGGCAAACCTGTGTCCACACATGGAAGCCGGAAGGGGGGTGCGATGCAGTCTTGCACCATCATCTGAGGGTTACCACTCCCTCTACTCTTTAGAAGGGAGAGGGTGGAAAGGGCAACATGTCCTCCAGTTGATTTTTAAGTTTGTTTTTTTTTTTAAAAGTTAACCTACCTGTAACTTTTTCCTGCCTGCCTTCTTCCCCTCTTAACACTCAAGCTTTCAACACAGACAGGTGGGAAGAGGTAGACGCCATTCAGGAACTTGGACCAGAGCCAATTAGGCTGCTGAGTCCCTGGGCCTGGAGCTGCACTTGTCCACCTTCAAGAACTGGTTCACCCAGCTTTAGCCTCTGCCACTGTCTGCCCAGAGCTGGGCTAGTGGGAGACACCTCAGAGCTGCAGTCATCTCGATAGGGATGGTGGGACCACTGCCACAGAAAACCAAAGGTAGCTTTGAGAGGGGGAACCTCCCTGGGCATCAGTCCCATTTTGTAATCACCATAGCCTCGGGCTACTTACCAGGGTGTAAAAGGGGTTTACCTCCCAACTTTTGGTCCTAAGTCCCCAGTGCTCCCTTCCCACTGTAAACTGGGTTAATAGTGTGATCCCTAGGGAACAAAACAGAATAACCAGCAGCTATACCTCAGGCTGCCTACTGGCTGGCCGTCCTTCTCAGCAGCGTGGGTCTGCTGCATGGACAGAGACATGGCCTGAGAAGCTCCAGTTTTGCTGTCTGCCCAGCCCACGGTGCCTCTAGGCTTCCTCCGAAGGAAGGTGGTGGGTACCAAGAGCCAGTGGAAAGGACCATGAGCTGGCAAGAGCGAGCCCTACCTGCTGTTCTGAGGGAGTCTGAACCTGCTCCATGTGCTATGGTTCCTGGGGTACCTTCCACTGCCCTCTGCTCAGTAACGGGACCTTGCTAATTGGGTTGTTATTCATGTTTTGGGGTTTATGTTCCTATCCTGGTTTTCTCCAACCTCAGCAACTTGTAAGACTGATACTGAAATAAATCATGTTAATCCTAGTTGTGTGCAGTCTCTCTTGACCTTCCACACCCTGCTCAGTCATCCCTGGGGCCAGGGCTGACTGGCTTTGTCCCACAGCTTGGGGCCATCGGTCCTGTCTCCCCTCTGCTGGCTGGACACAGCTGTGATGAGACTGGGCAGCTGAACAGTGTGGCTTTCATGAGGCAGAAAGGAGAGGCTGGCCTCAAATGCATGCAGAAGGTGGGGGTTGGCTGGGAGCAAGGAACGTGGAGCACAAAGCTTTTATCCTCCACGAACCAAGGCAATCACCCCACAGGTGTCCTTGGCCCAATCTAATCCGAGACCTCTCAGAAAGGCCCAGAGTTCTAGGTCTCTGGGAAAGGCTATGTTTAAGTCAGTGTTCTTCAAATACAAGGGAAGGCCTGATAACAGTCCTTCCAGGCACACAGGGTGCAGCTAACTAAGTGGAAATCGCCCAGGTCTAACCATGCTGCCACTCTGGTTCAGCGGTCTCCCTGGCCATCTGTACTCTCGGCACTGGAAATCTAGCTCCAAAGGCTCATGTGTATGCCCAGAGCTAAGAGGGCTGCTCTTTTTGAACAGTAACTTGACTGGGCAGTGTGACACAACCACAGGTTCCCTCTCCACTTTACCTCCTGTAAGCAGAAAAAGGAGACCAGGCAGGGGCCCTGGCAGAAAATGTTTTTTCCAATTTTATGAGCCTAAAGCCAGCAAACAGACCTGAGCTCTAAAGCTGCCTGCTCTGCTCTAAGTCTGCAGGTCGGGAGCAGAATTTTGTTCCTGTCACTATGCCTTGAGTGGCAATGAACTACAGGAGGGAGCCCATGTGGTAGCCTACACCTATAATCCTAGCACTCAGGAGGCTACGGCAGGAGGATTGCCTTGAATTCCAGGCCAGCCTGGGCAGGCCAGCCTGAGATCATCTCAAAAACACACTCACTCACACACACACACACACACACACACACACACACACACACACACACACGAGACTACAAGAATCCTACCTAGGTGAGCATCATGTGTCTACATAGGGTGAACACTGGACACAAAGCAGCTGCCAGAGTCAAGGACCAGAAAGGGTCAAACATTTTATTCCTTTCTTTTTTAATAAAGTTAAACAATAAAACAAAAATGCATAAGCTGCCTCCCTGTCCACCCCCTGCCTCCCTCCCCTCCCCAGTCTTCGGCACTGGCTTCCTATCCTTCACCCCACTCACACAGACATAGGGCACCCAAGTGAGAAAATGAAACTGCTCTAAGTACACAGAGACATGATGGAGGAGGTGAACTGTGTCCAAATTCAAGGTTAAACTGAGCAAGTCTGCATTTTCTGGGTTCTGGGTGGTTACCTTCATTAGCCGAATTGAAAAAAGAAATTCCCTGGACCAGATGCTGAAAGGGAAAAGAAAGACTTGTTAGTTGGCTCTTTGGATTTTCTAGGGAAAAATTGGTTGATAATGTAAAAGTCTTCAAAGGCATCTTCAACCCCAAGACACACAGAGACATTCTAAGGGTTCTGGGGTGCAAAAGCAAGCATAGCTAGGCAAGCACCCTGCCCCTGGCCTGGAGAGCATTTTGTGTGTGGCTTCTGAACTTACAGAGAAGCCTTGATACTAGACAGCACAGAGATGCCTCTCTGACCCTGCCAAGATGCACCATGAATGGCCCAATGCAAGATGAGCCTAGAGCCTCCTCAGCAATGCAAGTGGATAGATGCCCTGCTGAACGAGGATCGTCAAGGCTGCCTCCACTCACAGACTCCCAATTCCTAGGAGCTGCCTGACAAGGGAGGAGTCAGTGTTGCCTTGTCACCTGGGAACTCTCAAGAGCAGATATACCCACCTTCAAAGCTGAAGCCCCCAGGACCGCCAAAGAATGCCTTGAAGATATTGTTCGCATCAAAGTCTGGCGACGCACGGAAAGAACAAAAAAGGGAAAAGTTAGAAGGATCTGAAGAACTTACGCTACGAAGAACATGACTCCTAAGAATTCTCAGTATCACTTTCCTTTCCCAACACTTCAGCCTAGACAGCAAAACCTGCTGCTGATTCACTCCTAGGAGATGTTCCCCTCCAGGTACAGTCCACACAGAGAGCTTTCTCTGCCTCAACCTGCTCCGTTGGACTGCTTCCTTACCTGGGAATGCCATTTGCACCACACTGCCTCCCTAGAATGCTGGGGATACTAATGAGAAGGTTCAACTCTGCCACTTCAATGTTCCACTTCAACCCAGTACACCTGGAGACCCTGACTCGGCACTGTGGTCTGTCCCCCAGCCACCTCCCCACCCCAGGCCACAGCAGTTCTGATGGTTCCTGCCAACTGATCTGCACCAGCTGACTCCAGTCAGCTGTTTCTTGCCAGCCTATCTGCTCAAGACGTCACTGGCTAATCACATACTGCTTCCCCTCTGAAGTGCTTTAGAAATAAAGTAACATTTAATAGGCACTAGCTTCAGCCCAGATGCCCAAAACAACTCACCGCCCATGTTCATGCCCTCCTCATCCAGATCCTGTCCACTGTCATAGCGAGTCTTCTTCTTGGGATCAGAGAGGATGGTAAAGGCCTCTCCCACTTCCTTGAATTTCTTCTCCTCCTCCTTCTGGACCTCAGCACTGGCTCCACTGTGCCGATCTAGAGGAAGGAGGAGAATTCAGACAAAACCAGGGTCATAAGAAGAGAGTTTTATGTCCTTGTTTGGAATTTAGTACCTCTCATAATCTAGGGGGTACAGCATTCAGTACCTCCTATTTCCACTGAAGAGTGAATCTTTTTTTTTTGAGACAGGGTTTTTTGTAGCGCCAGCAGGCTTGGAACTCACCATGTAGACCAGGCTGGCCTTGATCTCATAGAGATCCACCTGCCTCTGCCTCCCAAGTCCTGGGGTTAAAGGAGTGCACCAAAAAGTGAGCCTCTTGCACCCCCTCTGCCTGCCTGTGGGCTCTTCCCACCACACCCGTTCCCTAGAGCTCACCTGGATGGTGCATCAAGGCCCGCTTCCGGTAAGCTTTCTTGATTTCGTCCTCAGAGGCATTCTTGTCTACTCCCAGAATCTTGTAGTAATCTTTCCTCTTACTCTTCTTCAGTTCTAGCTGTGCATTTTTTAGGAGCTGTTTGTGTTCTGGAAGAAGAGAGGTGGCATCAACAGAAAAATCTGACTCGTTTCCCTTGCCGGGTCCCAACCTAGCTGCTACCCAGAAGGTAGAAAATGACAGAGGAGTTGGAAGCAGAACACAGGTGCCTGACTCCTACCCAAGACCTCTGTTCTCTTCTTCCTGGCCAGTGATCAAATATGCTCCAGGAAGACCCCTGAGCCCTAACTTAGTTCCTAGGCGTGCCCTCACGGCCCATTACCTTTTGTTTTCTCCGTCTGATACACTTTTTCATAGTCCCGCACTGCCTCTTCATACTGCTCTGTGTCCATGTAACTGAGAAGGAAGTACAGGGCAATATAGCGCTCAGACACACATACACTGGCCTGTGGGATAATCTAGGGGAAAGTAAGGCTCAAGCAAGAAACACTTTTGGTGAGATGTTTTATGAAACACATCAGTTCCTTGTCTAAAAAAAGAATTGGATTTCAGTTCTTCAAGGGAAAGAGGCCCCATGGCACTCGCACCCAACCAGCAATCCTCTGCTCTGAGTCAACAGTAACCAACGGCTGAGAAATTTGTGGTGACACAGTACTGCCCCAGAGGCAGCTGGACTGCCTCAGGAAAGGCACCAGGAACCACCTACTTGATTACCCAGTGCTACAATACAAGTGAGAAAAATAGCTGTGAAAGAGCTTTGAAATCTTAAGCCACAAACATGCAGGGCTAGCTCTAATCCAGGGCAGAAGTGGGATTAGTTGAGCCACTAGAAGGATCAAGTTCAGGGTGGTAGCTGCTGCAAATGCTTCCATTAAGATAAATCGATCTGAGATGGAGGTGAGATAGAAGAAAAAGAGGGACCCTTGGGCCAAGACGGGAGGAATTTAACTGAACAGGTGGCATGCCAGGACTTTAAAGTGCTGATTTCACAGGGGCAGTCCATGTCCTGGTGGCACCAAATCTGACCTCATCTAACAGAGACACTATCTGCTAGGAATGGGAAGAGCTCACAGTGCAGCTAGCTGCTCTACACATTGGTTCAGCTGACACTCCCATCACACTAGACCTATCGTTAGACACATCAGGGATCCCTACCAGCCTGGGAGGCCAGGATAGGGAGACCTATACCAATGTGGTTGGCAAAATGGAAGTTCAACATCTTGGACATCTCTGAATTTCTAGGCACAACTTCATTCTTAATCAACGACCATAAAAAACCAATGCCCGACAGACACAGGGCACAAATTCGACAAGTGGATAGAGAATTTACAAAATGGAGGATAATATACTCTCAAGTAAAGAAATGTGAGACAGGCAACCCTAACACACTTTCTAGGCCTATACACGATGTATTAAACACGCACCATTACAGTGATGTGTATACTTTCTTTGGTTTTGTTGCTAATTTTTTTTTTGTCTTTTTGAGACAGGGTCTCCCTGCAGCCCCAGCTGGCCTGGAACTCACTATGTAGACCAGGCTGGCCTTAAACTCACAGAGATCCGCCTGCCTCTGCCTCCCAAGTGCTAGGATTGAAAGCATGAACCACCATACCCAGATTGTTGCCTATTTTTTTTTTAAATTTTATGTGTATGCGTGTATTGCCTGCATGTAGGTAAGTGCACCCGTGTTGTGCAATGCCCACGGAAGTCAGAAGAGGCTGTCGGATCCCCTGGGATTGGAGTTAGAGACAGTTGTTAGCTGCCATGTGGGTGCTGGGATTCGAACCCGGGTCTTCTGCAAGAACAACCAGTGTTCTTAACCACTGAGCCATCTCTCCAGCCCCGATTGTTGCCAATTTTTGGCACAAGGTTTTTCTTGCTGTGTCTAGGCTGGCATGGAACTCACTATGTACCCCAAGCTGCCCCTGAACTGACAAGTGAGCTCCTCCCTTAGTCTTCCAAGTCCTGGATTACAGACATGA